GCTCTGCTGACCTTGGGACTTAAAATGAACTTAAGTTAATGGGCTGCCGTGTGGTTTGGTAACATCGGGACTGTGATTTGTCAACCTTGGGGCTTCTCAGCCTCAGCAGGTAGCAGCTGTCTGAGTGAAGAAATGCCTCTAGTTTCAGTGAACTGGATGCAAAGCTGGACTCCACGGTTGAGGGGCTTTCACCCAGTCCCTAGAGCCTGGCACTTTGAACTTGGACTTAAAGACTCCAAATTGTAAGAATAAACTCCTATTTGTTAAGGCCATCCCATTTGTGGTATATTTCTTGTCTGAGTGGCACTGGGTAACCAGAACAGATATTTTCTCATCTTTCATCATACCAAAAAATTATCTTCCAACAAATCTTGGACAGTTTTTTCTGTAGTTTTCTTTGTCTCTTCCTCTTCTGGAATTCCGATGACATGTAGGTTACTCCTTTTGATGGTATCCTATATGAACCTTAGGCTTTCTTCATTTTCTTTTGATCTTTTTTCTGATTGTTCCTTTCCCATAGAAGTATTAACGTATTTGCCTCCCATCTCACTAATCCTGTCTTCCATTGATTCAGTTTTACTCCTTTGCCCATTCAATGAGTTACCTGTTTCTGAACATTTAGTATTAATCTTCTGGATTTCTATGTGTAGATTTTGAATCATATCTAATTTTTCATTTATTTTGTCATTTTGTTCTTGTATTTCTTTTGAAATTGTTCTAGGGTTTTCTCTGTGTTTTCCTCAATTTTCTCAGTGTTTTCCTTGATCTGCGTCTCAATTCATTGAAGATACCTAAACATAACTCTTCTGAATTCCTTATGAGGGAGTTCCAGTGATGCATCTTGATCCTCAGGGATATGTTTTGGGTCTGTATCCTGTTACCTTGTTTCTCCTGCTTTATCTTGCTTCTTTGTGTGAACTGTGATGCTTTATTGTCTCTGAGGCATTGTGACATTTTTGTATTTATATTTAATTGGTGATTTTGTGTTGGAGTGACTTGCCCACAATTTTTGTTTTCTTTTTATGTTATCTGCATAAACAAGGTATTGTGCTGTGCTCCTGTACTCATTTGTTGGCAGCACTTATACACTCACCACCTGTCTCCTTTCCTGTTGTCTGCTTCCCATATGTCCTTGCTGTCCTTGGCAAACGGAGCCTATTGTTAGGTCCTTGGAAGCCGAATGAGAATGATGTCACTTTTAAATCCAAAATGGCCACCATTTGTAAACATTCAAAATGGCTGCACCCTCAGTCACTGTAAATATCCACATTGATGGCTGCGTATATACAATCAAAATGGCTACACACTCAGGCACTTTAAATATCCAAAATAGCTGCTGCTTTTAAACCTTCAAAATGGCTGTGCCGTTGGTCACTTTAAATAATTGAAAATGGCCATTGTGTGTAAACACTCAAGATGGCTGTGGTCTCTGGACAGATGAAAATCCACAGCTCAGGTTGTCTCCCTTCTTGCTATTTCCCTTCCTAGTCATAGGCCAACAGTGTAGTCATCCCTGCAGCTCTTGTTGACCAGGCTGATCTTTAGGTCAATTCTCAGGTTCCAGCACCACTTGGAAATATTCAGGGTGTTGGTCCTGCCAGAGTAGCTGACAGTCCACTGCTCCAACTGCCTCTGTACTCACTATTTTCATGCCGGTTTTTCCACTTGTTGTTGTTGTTAATGTGCCATCGAGTTGCCCTGACTCATAGCGGCCCCCTCCTTGGGTTTCTGAGGCAGTATCACTACAGAAGTAGGATTGCTCAACCTTTCTTCTGAGGAATGGCTGGTGGGTTTGAACTGCCAGTCTTCTGGTTAGCAGTCAAGTGCTTTTTAGGCACTATGCTACCAGAGCTCCTGTTTTTCCACTAGTTGGTGCCTAATCCATTTCTGTAGACTTCCTTTCAAAGCCCAGGGCTCCAGGATTATCTTCTGTATCTTTGCCAGTTGGTTTCTTTTTTCTTTGTTGAAGAGGGTCTGTGGAGCTTATCTTCCTATTCCACCATCTTACTGGAAGTCCAAGCAGGATAGTTCTGCAGGAGTTTTGGGACAGTCCTTTCTGTTTGAGTTTGATCCTCTTCTATCTGAAATTGAGCTTTAGTCTCTGTTGTGATCATGGCAAATGTTTGTTTCCAATCCTTATTTACTATTATGTCCATATTGAGTTCAGGTTTCAGTAAACATGCTTTAATCTGGAACCTGAAGAATATGGTACCAACAAACTTTAGGAAACAAAAACAGAACATCAGTTGCTGCATTGTAATTTCCCAGAATATTTAACCCATTTTCCTTGCCTGTTTGCCAGGTTTGTGTGCTTTTGGTTACTCTGTTGATACCAAAACTCAGGATGGTATACATCCTGAGAAAATACTGGCTTTTTAAAATTTCTGCGTTTGTGGGTGAGTGGAATTGAATTAAAGAAAATAGGAATTTAGAGTATTTCAAAGTAGATACATATTATCCCTTAGCTGCTATTATGGATTGAATTGTGTGCCCCCAGTAATACATGTTGTACATCCTAAACTCTATGCCTATGATTATAATCCCATTTGGGAATGGGCCGTCTTTGTTATGTTAATGAGACAGGATCAGTGTAGGATATATCTTGAATCAATCTTTTTTGAGATATAATACAGATTCATCAAGCAAGCAAGTGAGAGATGAGGGAAGAAAGATGCCAAGACACCTGGGATCACCAAGGAACCATGAAGCAGTAGCTAAAGAGACCAGGACCTTCTTCCAGAGCCAACAGAGAAATAAACCCTTCCCATGGAGCCAGTACTATGAATTTAGACATCTAGCCTCCTAAACTATGAAAAAGTAAATTTCTGTTCATTAAAGTCATCCATTTGTATTTCTGTAATAACTAAGACATCTACATAGAGTTGTTTAAACTAACTTGTTAATACCATGTAGAAATACTTAAGAAATTTACTTAATGTAATCCAAGAGCATGGTTCGGATAAGAATTTATAAATGATATTGCTAAAGGGAATAAACTAAAAAGCAGTTTTAAACTTTTTTAGGATTATTTTTTAAAATTTACTTTTCATTTGTAATCTCATTTTCCACTTCTGATCTTCTGCATAATGGTTACCAGTTGTTACAGTCAGATTTTCTATAATTGAACTTCTTATTTTTCTGAATATCTTCACTTATCCAAATGATATGACAAGAAATTGAATTGTTTAAATAATTTCAAATGCAAGACTTTTTAAAAACATCTGTGGGTCTACTTAAAATATAGTTATTTTTTTCTCCTAAATTCCCCCCAAATTGACTCTTCTAATGACTCTCCTAATGAATGTAAGGGACCTCTGGTAGCATAGTGGCTGAGGCACTTGACTGCTAACCAGAAGGCTGGTGGTTCAAACCCACCAGCCACTCCTCGGAAGGAAGTTTGGGCAATCCTACTTCCATAGTGATACTGCCTTGGAAATCCAAGGAGGGGTCGCTATGAGTCGGGGCCAACTCGATGGCAAATAACAACAACAACAACAATGAATGTAAAGTGGAAAGTCATCCAAAAAAAAGCAAGCCCTTGAACAAGATGAAATGACACAATGACTGCAATAGGTTTGTTCAAATTTAGCAAGAATTGAGGATGGTACAGGACCAGTTAGTGTTTCGTTCTGTTGTACACAGGGTTGCTGTGATTCAGAATTGACTCAGGGCACCTAACAACAATAAATGTAAACAAAACTTCATTATCCTTTCAAGAACATTTAAATTGTTATGAATTTAGGAAAAAAGCACATTGAGTTATATATATTTATATATGAGAATTGAATGTCTATAACTATCTTCTCTTTTTTTCAAGAGGTTTGTTTTTATACTATAATGACTCTCTTCTTCATTTTTTAAATTAAAATTGTTTTGGTTAAGTCAAATATTAGTCATTTAAATAAACAACTTTCTTCTCTTAAATTGGGGAGTATATTGTGTTAGGCCGTTTTATTAGAAAGAATTGTGAATATGTAGGATTTGAACTTTCTCATGCAATAATTCTCAGACTAGAGAAAGTTTTCTTGTTCTGCGGTTTGAGTTAGTGTTTAGTTGTATTTTTAGTAACAGTCCTAACTCTCAAACTATGTAAGCACTGAGCGAAGATGGAGTCACAGGGTAAACTGGGCTTGCTTCCCAAGGGAGGGCTGAGAGTTGAGCAGGAAGGAAGGCCTGTTTGTGAGTGCCTTGCACGCAACTATGTCTGAGTAGGCTGCCGAGCAGTACAATGTCTCCCTTGTACAAAGTAACTCTCTTAGTGAGTGCTCAGATATGTGAGGAAAAAGTGTTTGGGTAAGTGAAGGAGCACCAAGAGTGTTTCAAAGACAGTCTTTTTGGGGTTTTGTGGTATGTGGAATACAGGGAGTGTACTTTGTTGCTGTAAAGAACTGGCTTTGTTTTCAGTGGCGTGGACTTCTTGAACAAGCTGTACTGCAAGCAGATTTGAAGTCTTATTTTCTAAAAATATGAACTTCATTTAAAAACGTGATTTGTTGATGATAAAAAGTTAATACTTACTTCTTGAAAGCAGTGAAAATTAATTGTGGTATTTGTCTTAGGAATGAATTCGTTAGTAGACTTAGAAGTCTCCTTTTTCCCTTAATTTTTCCTCTGACATCAGAAGTAACTAGTGATAGTGATAAAACCATTTGTGAACTGATTAATTCTGTTGAAAATGTATAATATTGATTTCAAGAAAAAATTGGCTTGTTTTAAAACAGTGTGGTAGTTACCTGTTTACTTACATGACTATGATTAAAAAAAATAAATGTTACAATTTTCTTCAGTTTGAATACTGTATAATTCAGTTCTCACTGGAAGGACCTAACCCATTATTTTTCCTCTGAATACTTTTGAGTTTGTGATTAACTAACATAAGTGGCTGTTATCTTTAGAATACTACTTTTATATTATTGGTACCATCTAATTGTTAAGCTGCAAGTGCTTAACTTCTATAGAGTGTGTACATATTTATAGTATTATGCTTTAAATCTCTCTAGTGGAGTGTGACAATATGAAGCGCTTTGACCGATCAGATAGAAATGTTCGGCAGTCTCAGGAAGGATTTTGGAAAAGGCCACCCCAGAGGTGGAATGGACAAGAACACTACCACCTCAGCCATCCTGAACACTATCATCACCATGGAAAAAGTGACTTGAGCAAGTGAGTACCATTCTAACTTGTATTTCATTTTATAGACTCTGATTAATTTTGAACTGTAATTTTCCTATCAAAAATCTTTTTTGTCTCGTTTTTAGAGCAGTAAAAAAATATTTCATACTCATATATGGTCCTCATTGAAATAATATATCTACTTTTTTCCCTTTTGGCCTAAATCCTTTTTTGTTAACTTCATTGTAAATATAAGTATTTTATTTGTATCTGATATTTTGGGCTTTAGAACAGTTCTGATGTGATTTTCTAATTCTCATTTAGGAATGATTAAATGTTGCTATTGTCAAAAGTTTATTATTTTTCTAAGTAATAACATACAAAATTAGTTCCAGGTGATTTGTCTTCTTTTGCTAAGTAAAAAGTTAAAATTTTTTAAGTAATTCCTCAAGTACTATTAGAAACTGAAGAAGGTGCTGTGTGATACTAGATGGCTTGCCTTTTGTCAAGTTGTAGGATAGTCTTTAATTAGATCAGACCTTATTTTAGTACAGTGGAACTTTGTAGTCATTCCTACCTGGTATCTAAACCTGACCTGGCACAAATCAGCTTTGAAAGCCCAGATAACTCAGTTAGCCTCTCTCTACTTCTGTTTACCATCTGAAATATAATTAACAGTACCTTTCTCATGGTGTTCCAATATCAGCAATAAAGTACCTGGAACAGAGTTTGGCTTCTAGTAGGCACACAATGGTAGTTTTTGTTACTATTTTTCACAAGGGATTTGAGGTCATTGGAGCACTTTTTAAATATAAATAATAAGATTAGAATAAAGAAGTAGTAATAGAAGGACACTAATAATCAGATGTGAAGGTGACATAAGAGAATCTTTAATACAGTGAAACCTGTGCGATCCGGAACTAAATGGGAGTGCCTTATTTTTGCCAGTCTCATCAGTTTTCCACCTTTGACAGGGTGTAGTCTTCCATTTTTCTCTTGCTTGTTTTAGTATATTTGAACTTTCCTTCTTTGACAGGTTTATGCCTTACACAGGTTTTAGCTTTTGCAAATTTACTGTAGTAGAGATTGCCTATTGCTGAGGTCCTCACAGTTTACAGGGGAGACGGATAAGTAGTTATAAGGTAGTGTTAGTGCAATGGTGATGAATGCCTCAATGCAGTGATCTGTAAGGGACTCTAAGAGCATATAGCAACTAATTTTTATCTAAGGATACTGCAGTATAAAGAAAGTTAGGATTTAACTGATTCTAAAAGTGGGACCTTAGAGAGATTTCAGAGAAGTTTCTATAGGGTAAGTGTGAGTATTCCAGATGATAAGACTGAGCATGTGCAAAAGCATGTGTGAAAAGGTATGACTTTTTCAGAGACCTACTCTAAGCTTGCCATAGCTGGATCACTGGGTCCTTTGGAGGAATGCGTAGATACGATTTCTGTCACTACATACCAGAAGGATCATCTGTGCATTTTAAGGTGTAAAGGATGGCAAATTTCAACTTAAAGTGTGACTACTTAATCAGACTGTCCAAAACAGAATGAATTACCTGGAGGTCGTAGCCATCGCTAGCCCTGAGAATGATGAAAACCAAACAAAAAGTATTACTGTGAAGTTGATTCCAACTCATAGTGACTCCATAGGACAGAATAGAACTGCCCCATAGGGAGCTCTGGTGGCACAGTGCCTAAGGCATTTGACTGCTAACCAGAAAGGTGGTGGTTCAAACCGACTCGCTACTCCTTGGAAGGAAAACTGGGCAATCTACTTCTGTAGAGATACAGCCTCTGAAACCCAAGGAGGGGTTGCTTTGAGTCGGAACTGACTCAACGACAGTGAGTGTGGTTTTTGGTTTTGGTAAGGTTTCCCAGGTGGTTCTCTTTACAGAAGGAGACTGCCACATCTTTCTCCTTCAGAACTGCTGGTGGGTTTGAACTGCTGACCTTTTGGTTAGCAGTTGAGCGCTTAACCACTGTGCCACTGTGGCTCCTTTGGAATGATCTAGCTGAGGCTAATTAGTCATCTCTCAGAAGAGTTATGCAGTATTTTCCAAGCTCTGTTCCCTGGGAGTCAACAAATGTAAAGAGAGGGGCTCTGGTGAAATAAGTATGGGAATGAACAAGTTAAAGTTATTATTTTTTATAGGTATACCACAGTGCCTTTAATGTATGTATATGTATGTATGTGTGTGTGTGTGTGTGTGTGTATATATATATATATATATATAGTACTATGATTTTGCAAGGGCTGGTAGAAGATAAAATATTCAGCCATTCACTGAAACATAGGGATCACAAATCCGTTTTTCACAGTGTGTTTTGGGGACTAGTGATTCGTGGATAATCCACACCAGTGATACTTGGTTAGTAGAGAAAAATGCATGTCATTCTTAGGGGTTGCTGATCTGACTCATGTTAGCAGAGTTGCCCAACAGATGGGCTGAGGCACAATGATGTGTCCTGGATGGTTACTGGTGTGCTTTGAGGTGGTCTTGAGGAGTTTGGGACATCTTGATTTTCCAGGGCTGGTTGTGGGAATGGAAAACTTCCAGGATAACCTTACCCAGCATACCTTCAATTTACTTTCTCTGTACCTTGTTATTAGACAAGACTCGGATGCAGTAAACCTGGAAATTTTTTTTGTGTGTGTGATTTGGGTGAAAATTTCCAGAGCAAATTCACTTTCCATATAGCAGTCACATATACTATGTCTCATGACATTGACCACAATTTACCACAATGCAACAGCTCCCTTCCCACTTCCTCCCCATAGTTACCTCTTCCCTGTGTCTATCCCTCCATGCACTCCTGCCTCTTGAATTGTCTTCTTGTGTATAAGAAGCCCTTTTTCTCCCATGATTGTTCTCTCCAAGGAGTGTATCTACCTCAGGTAAATGTTCAACTCATATGCCTGTCTTTTGTTTGGCTGGAAACCAGAGGTGTGGGT